CGTTTATTTCAAAATAAATACGTCATCAATTTCAATTAAAATTAGATTCCCGCATTTTAACTTTGAAACCCCCTATTGTGTGATAATAAATGTGAAATTAGTTGCACAGCTAATTAATTTGTTTAAAAAAAAAAAAAATTGCATTGTAAATTTTAGTAATAAAAATATCCAGTGTCATTGGGTTCCGCTTGTACACATACGAATCAAAAGATTTCCATGATCTTGACATAGTGATTGAATATAAAATTTAAAAATTATAATGTCTTGAATATTGACGCGTCATAATCAGTATAATAAATTTTAAAAACTATAATTTCTTGAATTTTCATAATCAACGCAATAAATTTTAAAAACTATAATCTGTCTGATCAAACTGAAAAATCAGATTCTTTATTGAGTTCATTGAGAGAGCTGCTTGAGAACAGTTATCTATCATAGTAATGTATATTTACTATATACGATATGTAAAACATTATAAAGAAATATTTATTTCCTGAACGAAATCTTTTAGAACAAGCTAAAATAAGATTTTGATTTTAATCATGTGAACTAATAAGTTTATTTGCAAATTTTTTAAAAACTTCACAGAGTTTTTTTGTCGATCGACGTTTGTTTGGATTTTATTCCAACATTGTTTAATCAGATTCACGTAATATTATGGTGCTTCTTTATTGAAAGTCATTACATTATCATTTTTATCGTATAATACTTCCCACATGATCATTCTGAAAGAGTGAGTGAATATCGGAGCAATGTAAAGCAGGACATTATAAATTTATTTATCTTTTTATTCAAAAAATCCTCAATATACGCTCTACGCAAATTGTCTTGCAAGATGTTACCACTATGTAGGTCTCGATGAACAATATCTTGAAAATGAATTGCTTTAAGATCAAAAGCAATGATGCTAAATAACAAATTTAATTTATTTTTCGATTTCATTTATAATATAAATAGAATTGAAGATTTTGCGTATTTTAAAACAAGAGCATATTTCCATCCTTGCTTCTTGATATACCGAAACATTTTATAAACAAGGATTTTCAACTCGGTTTCGCAATACGCCTTTAATTTTAGAAATATTTGGTTTCAAATTAATATATATATATAATAAAATTTATAGATTAAATAAAGTATCTCATTTAAATATTCGTTATTATAAATTTACTTAAGCGTAACAGTAAAAATTCGAGTTTCAATTGTTCTAATCGTCCGTTTCGCGCGAATTATTTAATTTGTCTCATAATGTTTTTATATCATCACCAATATCAAGACCTTTGTGAAATTTACTCTTTTCCATTCGAAACCAATAATGGGAATACAAAGAGCTTTTGAGAGAGGTAATAAAATATTTATTTAAATCTTGTAATCTTGTAAAATTCTTCGTTATTTTTCTTGCTGATAAAAACTTTAATAAGTTGCAAATCGTAAGTATAACTTGTTACATAAATCTTAACAAAAAGATCGCTACAATTATATATATAAATTTGTTTAATAATTATAAATTTCATTAATATATATATAATTTAATATATATAATTTACAAATTTAATAAAAAATAATCACACATACATTATTAAAAAAAAAGTTAAATAAGTTTCTCTAACTCTTTAATTGCACATTCCTTTATCAAGACGTGTAAATTATACCAAGTTGTGAAAAATATTTTACCAACGCTGCTTAAAGTTGTTTCAAATTTTTGTCTTTCAACAATAATAATACTCTGGAAAAAATTTTTTTTTTACTTCCAAAAAATTTAATTGAATTTCTTGTCTAGTACCATTATAAAAACTACCTTGAGTTGAATCGTAAACAATAAAATGAATCCTTTTAAAATTCCCATCGAAATAATTAAATTCTAGTCTTTGCATTACATTATAAATATTTTTAATTCCATACTCATTTTTAAATTTATCATAATTAAATGAAATAGATTGGTAAGTCATATAAGAAATACTATTATAGCTGGGTTTAACTTCAAAACCAGAGAGCTCATAAATTTTATAAATTAATTCTTTTTCATTATTAAGAGCATAAATTCTCTAATAACCTTCAAATCTTAAATCATGAACATTTTTATCCGAAAAATATACAAAGAAACCGATATTTTCAGGATATTTTTTCATAACTTTCCAAAATTTTTTTAAATCTTTTTCATATCTGCTTTTATCATACTGACTAACAAATTTTACTTGAATATTAAAGCCCAAATTTACGTAGTAGCCAAATATATCAATACCACCATCACTTTTACCTGCATTCAAAGCAAAGGCTGGTATTCCAGCATCCAATAAAGCTAATAAACATTTTGCCTCTCCAATACGACCTTTTTCAACACATATTTGGAATTAAGTATTTTCGGGTTTTTGTTTAAAATTTTCTAACCAAATAGTATGATCAATTTTCTCAATGAGCATTTTTTTAAAAAAAAAAATATTTTGTTTATGAATAGTAAACGCATTAAAATTAATCTCTTTATTAACATTAAATAATTTTCAGAAATTCTCCTTGATCATCATAAATATCATGAGATCACATCTTTTGCAAGCATTTTAAACTTCTAATTTAAGAAATTTTTTATTTTTATTACGTGTCATAAACAAGAATTTACTGTTTTTAAAAAAAATTTACACCAAAAAATTACCAAAACACTTTCTGTCTTAATCACGAAAAATCAAGGGTCTCACCTTGCCAAGCATTTTAAATCTGTATAACATTAAACTCTTTAACAATCAGGAGCCAAAAATGACTAGTTTATTCAACAATTCATAGTCAACAATAACTAGTTTACATGATTATTCTATTTAATACATACTCAAAAATGTTTCTATAATCACGATTAACTAATAAAGAATTTCCATTTTAAAAAAAATTCGCGCCAAAACATGAATTGAAATAGGTAATTAACCGACGACCACCCATTTCCCATTTCCCAAAATGGTGTAATTGTTGGAGAAATGATGTCAACGAAATGGTTGTCGGGAAAATAGTTATATGTCAAAGAAATAATCGTTGGAAAAATAGTTGTCAGGGAGTGGTTGTCGGTAAACCATTGAAATAACCAAACCACTTTCTTCATCAAAATCTAGTCAATCTTTCCTGATTATATCAATTGGAGGCGTTTGCTGGTGTACAAATAAATATGAATAAGTTGGAGACTTCAAACTATTACTAAATTTATATTCACTGTGAAGTTATCACCAAATAAATATTTAATTTTGTGTAAGGTTAATTTTGTGTACCGTAACCTTTTTTCTCATGGTCTAGTTATCGGATCTATATAATTTTGGTATAGTTTTGGTACACTGATCATTAGATCGTGAGAAACTTGGATATGAAAATTGCAAAAAGGTGGGTGCTTATTCACGGCAGGATATGGTAAGGTTCTACAATGCTAATTATATCCAACGCTGAATCGTTTTTCATAACCTTTTGTCTATAGAATTATTTTTATTTGAATTCAAATAACCATTCGTATTTTTTTACATAATGTTTATAAAGTATGATTTTTTGAAATTAACTATCTAGAATAATTACCAGTTAATTAAATACGTAACATGTAATGGGAAAACATTTGCTTAGAAGTTTGGTATTGAATCATTAATAAATATCAAATTTGTATAGCTAATAAAAATAAAAAAATTATTTAACAAAGGAAGCTATTCTTACAACCTTATCTTCATACAAAAAAAAAAAGAATAATGTTAGTGCTTTCCTCAATCCTAACCATCAAAATGAGTTCATCTTTAAAAGCTAAAGTTTGTATGTTTGATTAACCATACATACTTTTGAAATTGTCGTAGCAATTTCTGTACGTACATGCACTATTTTTCAAAAAAGTTATTATGCCTAACAGGAGACAACAAATGTCTCAACGATCCACATTGATCAATCGCCATTAGGCAATAATAAAGATAATCGTAAATTTATATAAAACCAAAGCTTAAGTAACTTAAAGATTATGGGATTCGAAAGAGAATCCGATTAGTCATATGATGTATTTGATCTTTTCACGTGTTTATTTTATTGGCCCTAGGAAGTTCAGAAACCATTTACTGTGTAAGTATCTGTATATAAATTTATTATTAACGCAATTGGCTTAGGGCGTTATCAAGCATCCACCTCAATGAATTCAATAAAAAATCTGATTGGCTAGTTTGGTTAAACTGACCAATCAGATTCGTTGTTGAGTCCATTGAGGTAGGTGCTTGAGAACACCCTTAGTCAACATAAACAGTAAATTGTTGCAGAAACTCATAATGCGGGTTAAACCGAATTAATAATTAAACAGTAAATTGTTGCAGAACCTCATAATGCGGGTTAAACCGAATTAATAATTAGGATACTGTTGATTCTCGCTGATTGTAGAGATACTGTCCAGATGAAATCAGTAGGGTGATTCATTCAGTATTAATTTTCAGGTTTTTGATTTCGAATTAAATTAGCGGCGTATTTGTTTTGAAATAAGTGATTTATAAATTCTATTTTTTTTTATGATATTATCAGAAAAATATACCTATTTCGTTTTCTAATTTCGGAATTTCAAAACAGAATGGGATTTTTTAAACTTTCCACTTATTTTCGAAATAATTTAATTCTATCATCCTAGCGTATGTGAAAGGTGACAGATAGAGATGGCAAAAAAAAAAAGAAGTTTTTAACGATCTTTAAAATATGTTTAAACGTTGGTGATTATGATGGATAACGGCTGTAACTGACATTATTTTTTAGGTACGACAACTCTCACTCTCACAAACTTGAAACTTGTTTAAAAAAAGAACCATTTTGAGGATACATAATATAGTTTTCAAATTAGTCAATATACCCGTAATAAAATCTACTGAACTTTTTTTGTATTAAAATCATATTATGATTTATTATTAAATAACCTAAGTTGTGTTCAATTTTCCGAACGCTGAACCTAAATTTAGAATCAATTAATCCGAGACCGAAATTTCGTAGAGTTTTGAAAGCCTCACTTTGCACACTTCACAAAATTAAATCAAGTTCTATAGTGAAATTTCTATTTATTTAAAATTAGCAAATTTCTGATTAGTACGCAATATAAGCCACACTTAAAATAAATTTGAGATACTGTAATAAAATACAATGTCAAATTATTAAAAATATGGCCGCACTAGAGTTTGTACTCGTAGAAAAAATTATTAAAATATTCGGGTTAACTGGCTAAATTATTATAAAACTAACTCTATCAAAGTACAATGTCTAGGATGCACATTAGAAGCAATAATAATTTTAATTCACTTGATGTAGCATTTAAAATCATACAATAATGAAATGATACCGATGGAATTCACGGATTGGAGTTTGTGCGACTGAGAGAAATCAGCTTGTAGCTATCCCACAAAATTGTTTACCCCCCACGTGGACCAAATAGGTGACGAGCCTCAAAAAGATATATAAATCTATGACATATATATATATATAGTATATATATATATAATAGCATAGTGGAGGTTTATTTTGATTGGTTGTTAAAATACCCCGGAAAAAATGTAGATCATTCTCCGGATAAAGTATCGGCTATGCCCGATGAATTTTATTACTCACGAAACTTTCAAAAAATTAGTCAATACTTTCTAAAGGCGTGTATTATAGTCTTACAATACATTAACTGGGGTTCATAACTATTCATATTTCACAATGTATACAATATTATTTCATTTCGCAATAAGTAAAATATTTATTTTACAACAAATACTCTAAGTTTTGCGACACAATCTACTAAATAAAATAACATACACAAACATTTCTAAACACTGCTACTATAAAATGTATGTATTTATAAACTACTCATAATCTAAATATAATAAAAAGGTAGAGTTTGGAATATTAGTTTAAAATACGTAGTACTTTTTACTTATAGAAAACAAAGTAGAACTACATAGTTGAGACAACTTTCACTTACTAATTGCTTAGGTCGCCAAAACACCTTCTAACCTTTCAAAACTTTTACTTCTCATTTAGTTTCTCAATCTTTTGCATCTTATTGCATCAGTTGTTAAAAAACAGTAGATTTAACGATAAAAAATGATATATTAAGTCATCGTAGTAGTCATGTATTGCAGAAAAAAAATTTTATATGTTATAACTATCTTTACTTATTAAAGGTACTTTAAAAATTACAATATAAAAAAAAAGATCTTTGCCAATTAAATTTATTCTTAATTTAACCAATCAAAATAAACTTCCACTATGCTTATATATAATGACATATATATATAGTATTGCACTTAAGAGGTGTGCTATGTGACATTTTAGGGGTGTGAAAACCATGTATGTTACACAAAACACTTGAAATTCTATATGGTTATGTTCCTAAAATACACACCCTCTATCACATCCACTTAAGATGTCTACTATGTGACACAGGAAACATGTGACAAATATACATTTTGTCACGTCTCTCTGTAATATGACACATGGTAGACACCTTAAGCAGGTGTGACAAAAGGGTATGTGAATTTTAGGAACAAAACTATCCCTTAAGCTGTAGAGTTCGTGTAACAATTTTAGCTTAAAAATAGCATAAATTTAGTTATGATCTATTTTT